ATAGGGATCCTCAGGGGTCACGTCCCAGCTGGTCCCAAGAAGCCATCCCAACATGGAGATCCCAATGGTTGAATCCCGGTGCTGCTGTTCCGTGTCTCCAGGGTTGGGATAACCCAGAAACAGTTGGGAAGAGGGGAATGGAGCTTTGGAATTGCACTGAAACCATCAGCTCAGTCACTGGGAAAGAGGATCCATATGGATCCTGTGGGGTCACGTCCCAGCTGGTCCCAAGAAGCCATCCCAACATGGAGATCCCAGTGCTGGTGTTCCATGTCTCCAGGGTTGGGATAACCCAGAAACAGTTGGGAATAGGGATGTGGAGGCTTTGGAATTGCACTGAAACCATCGGCTCCATCACTGGGAAAGAGGATCCACATGGATCCTGTGGGGTCACGTCCCAGCTGGTCCCAAGAAGCCATCCCAACATGGAGATCCCAGTGCTGGTGTTCCATGTCTCCAGGGTTGGGATAACCCAGAAACAGTTGGGAATAGGGATGTGGAGGCTTTGGAATTGCACTGAAACCATCAGCTCCATCACTGGGAAAGAGGATCCATATGGATCCCCTTTCCATACGGATCCTTTGGGGTCACGTCCCAGCTGGTCCCAAGAAGCCATCCCAACATGGAGATCCCAATGGTTGAATCCCGGTGCTGCTGTTCCGTGTCTCCAGGGTTGGGATAACCCAGAAACAGTTGGGAATAGGGATGTGGAGGCTTTGGAATTGCACTGAAACCATCGGCTCCATCACTGGGAAAGAGGATCCACATGGATCCTGTGGGGTCACGTCCCAGCTGGTCCCAAGAAGCCATCCCAACATGGAGATCCCAATGGTTGAATCCCGGTGCTACTGTTCCGTGTCTCCGGGGTTGGGATAACCCAGAAACAGTTGGGAATAGGGATGTGGAGGCTTTGGAATTGCACTGAAACCATTTGCTCCATCACTGGGAAAGAGGATCCACATGGATCCCCTTTCCATATGGATCCTGTGGGCTCACGTCCCAGCTGGTCCCAAGAAGCCATCCCAACATGGAGATCCCGGAGCTGGTGTTCCGTGTCTCCGGGGTTGGGATAACCCAGAAACAGTTGGGAAGAGGGGAATGGAGCTTTGGAATTGCACTGAAATGGGGGGGGGGGGGGAGCTCCCCCTTTGTTCCTTGCATCCCTCAGATCCCAAAGGCTGGAATTTTCTCTGTCCGCACCGATGGGGTTGGTGGAGTGAATCCAAGCGGGATCAGCACCAAAGCTCCGGAGCTGGATGAGAGGAAATCCAGTGGTGAAGGGACGGGAATCAGCTCGCAGGGTTTGGAATGCCAGGATGGGGTTTGGGATGCTGCTCCTGCGACACTGGGATAAATCCAACCGGCTGCAAATCATTCCCATTCCCAGGCCGGATTTCCCCCTGGAATGCTGGCGTTGCCGCCTCCTTCCATGGCGGAGATGCTCCCGCGTGGATTTTCCTTCCCTGCATCCCAAAAGAGCCTGGATTCTCCCCAAACCAGTGGGAGAAGGGGTCACTGGAGCGATCCCAATCCATCGCCACGCCGGAGCAGATCCCACGTATCCCAAGCTTGGGAGCCGCTGTCTTCGGTGAGCCCGGCCCCACCAAATCCATGGGGAGCTGGATTGGACTGGATTGGACTGGATTGGATTGGGGGGGGATGTCGGGAAGCAGATGTGATCCAAGCGGGATCCTGCTCCATCCGCAGCCTCTGCAATCCAACGGGAAGCGCTCCCAGCTGGAAAACCATCACCTAAAGAGGTTCCAAGCTGGATGCCAACGGCATTCCCGGACACATCCCCTCCGGGTCGCTGCTCCGGCGGGATAGGGAAAGCCGGAGCAGGGCTGAGCTCCGGATCCCCATTGTTCCAGTGCCAAAAAGAGTGGGGATTCGCCATCGGGAATGAAACCGGCTCCACCGGGAGCCACGCACATGGAGAAATATCCCATGGGATTCCGGCTCCTCCTCACAGCCACTCATTAAGGGCTCATCCCGAACGGGCCCGGAAGGGAGCTGCTTTGGGCGGCACCGGGATCCCGGGAATCTCATCCCAATGGGATCCATTGGGATTCCTCAGTGAGGCCCTGGGGGGGGGCAGGATTCCATTCCCATCCCATAAAGGCTGTGTTGGGGGGGGCTTATTCCTATGGGAAAGCAGCAGGAATGCTGCCTGGGTCTGGTACTGGGGGATGCTGATGGTACTGGGGGATACTGGGAGGATGCTGGTGGTACTGGGGGATACTGGGGGGATGCTGGTGGTACTGGGGGGATGCTGGTGGTACTGGGGGGTGCTGGTGGTACTGGGGGGATACTGGGGGGATGCTGGTGGTACTGGGGGGATGCTGGTGGTACTGGGGGATACTGGGGGGATGCTGGTGGTACTGGGGGGTGCTGGTGGTACTGGGGGGCGCTGGGGGGATGTTGGTGGTACTGGGGGGATGCTGGGGGGGATGCTGGTGGTACTGGGGTGATACTGGGGGGATGCTGGTGGGGGATACTGGTGGTACTGGGGGGATACTGGGGGGATGCTGGTGGTACTGGGGGGATGCTGGGGGGGATGCTGGTGGCAGTGGGGGGTGCTGGGGGGATGCTGGTGGTACTGGGGTGATACTGGGGGCATGCTGGTGGGGGATACTGGTGGTACTGGGGGGATGCTGGGGGGATGCTGGTGGTACTGGAGGGATGCTGGTGGTCCTGGGGGGATGCTGGAGGGATGCTGGTGGTACTGGGGGGATGCTGGTGGGGGATACTGGTGGTACTGGGGGGATGCTGGGGGGATGCTGGTGGTACTGGGGGGATGCTGGTAGGGGATACTGGTGATAATGGGGTGATACTGGAGGGATGCTGGTGGTACTGGGGGGATGCTAGTGGGGGATACTGGTGGTACTGAGGTGATACTGGGGGGATACTGGTGGCACTGGGGTGGTACTGGGGGGATGTTGGTGGTACTGGGGTGATACTGGAGGGATGCTGGTGGTACTAGAAGGATGCTGGTGGGGGATACTGGTGGTACTGGGGTGATACTGGGGGGATACTGGTGATACCGGGGAGACACTGGTGGTACTGGGGGGATGCTGGTGGTAATGGGGGGGATGCTCGTGGTACTGGGGGATAAACTGCTGGGGGATATACTGGTGGGGGATACTGGTGGTACTGGGGGGATGCTGGTAGTAATGGGGGGGATACTGGTGGCAAGGGGGGGATGCTCGTGGTACTGGGGGGATACTGGAGGTACGGGGAGATACTGGTGGTACTGGGGGGATGCTGGTGGCAATGTGGAGATACTGGTGGTACTGGGGGGAGACACTGGTGGTACTGGGGGTAATACAGGTGGTATCGGGGGGACACTGGTGGTACTGGTGAGACACTGGTGGTACTGGGGGTAATACAGGTGGTATTGGGGGACACTGGTGGCACTGGGGGGACACTGGTGGTACTGGGGGGAGACACTGCTGGTACTGGGGGGATACTGGTGGTACTGGTCATACTTGGGGGGGTTCTGGTAGTACAGGGAGGATGCTGGTGGTACTGGGGGGGCACTGATGGTAATGGGGGGATACTGGTGGTACTGGGGGGGTACTGGTCATACTTGGGGGGGTACTGGTGGTACTGGGACGAGACACTGATGGTACTGGGAGGATGCTGGTGGTACTGGGGGGGCAGTGATGGTAATGGGGGGATACTGGTGGTACTGAGGGGATGCTGGTGGTAATGGGGCGATACTGGTGGTACTGGGGGACGCTGGTGGTACTGGGGGGAGACACTGGTGGTACTGGTCATACTTGGGGGGGTACTGGTTGTACTGGGGGGAGACACTGGTGGTACTGGTCGTACTTGGGGGGGTACTGGTTGTACTGGGGGGAGACACTGGTGGTACTGGGAAGATGCTGGTGGTACTGGGGTGGCACTGATGGTAATGTGGGGATACTGGTGGTACTGGAGGGCACTGGTGGTACTGAGGGGATGCTGGTGGTAATGAGGGGATGCTGGTGGTAATGGGGGGATACTGGTGGTAATGGGGGGAGACACTGGTGCTACTGGGGGTGTACTGGTGGTACTGGGGGAGACACTGGTGCTACTGGGAAGATGCTGGTGGTACAGTTGGGGGCACTGATGGTAATGTGGGGATACTGGTGGTACTGGAGAGCACTGGTGGTACGGAGGGATGCTGGTGGTAATGGGGGGATACTGGTGGTAATGGGGGGAGACACTGGTGCTACTGGGGGTGTACTGGTGGTACTGGGGGAGACACTGGTGCTACTGGGGATGTACTGGTGGTACTGGGGGGAGCACTGGTGGGGATACTGGTGGTACTGGAGGGCACTGGTGGTACTGAGGGGATGCTGGTGGTAATGGGGGGAGACACTGGTGCTACTGGGGGTGTACTGGTGGTACTGGGGGGAGACACTGGTGCTACTGGGGGTGTACTGGTGGTACTGGGGGGAGACACTGGTGCTACTGGGGGTGTACTGGTGGTACTGGGGGGAGACACTGGTGCTACTGGGGGTGTACTGGTGGTACTGGGGGAAGACACTGGTGCTACTGGGGTGAGACACTGGTGCTACTGGGCCGAGACACTGGTGCAACTGGGGGTGTACCGGTGGTACTGGGGGAGACAGTGGTGGTACTGGGGATGCACTGGTGGTACTGGGGGGAGACAGTGGTGGTACTGGGGGGAGCACTGGTGGGGATACTGGTGGTACTGGGGGGATACTGGTGCTACTGGGGTGAGACACTGGTGTTACTGGGGGCTCACAGGTGTCACAGCACACCGGCCACTGCGCAGAGGAGCAGATACTTTGGGATGCATTAAACTGGGACAAACTGGTGTTAATGGGGGGGGGGGGGCAGCACCCAACACCCCCCCCCCCCCCAATTAAAGGGTATGGGGTGGGGGGGGGGGTGTTAAGGAGACCCCCCCTAAAGAACAGGGGTGCTATGGGGGGGGGGAAGGACCCGGATGGAAGGAGGTGGAGGGGGGGGGGGTGTCCCGGTGGTACCTGATAGACCGAGGCCTTGGGCAGGTCGAGGCAGACGGTGCAGCAGAGCACGGAGTAAAGGCGCTCCTCCAGCTTCACGCTCCCGGCCCCCGCCTCGGCCGCCCCGCTTCCGCTCCCGGCCGCCCCCTTCAGCCTCTTCTTGGGCGGCGCGTCCGGATCGGCTCCGGCCTCAGCGTGGGGCCGGGCCCCGCCGAGCAACGACCCCGCTTCTTCGAGTCCTCCCCCGACAACTCCGCCTCCTCCGACGTCCCCCGGAGCCGCCGCCGCCGCCGCCGGACCCGGTAAAGAAGCGGAAGGGGCGGAGGGGGCGGCCGGGCCCCCGCCGGCCTCTCGCTCCTCCGCCCCGGACATCGCCACCGCCGCCCGCCTCACCCCGCCACGGCCGCCATCTTGGCTTCTTCCCCCCCCCCCCCCGCCCGCCCCATGCGCGGCCCTCCCAGGGGATCCCGCCAATCAACGCCCGCGGGAGGCGGGACGGGAGGGGGAAGTGGCCAATCAGAGGGCACGCAGGCTTCCCCCACGCACACAGACACACACCCCCCCCCCCCCGCCTCGCCGGGGACGGGGCCACGCCCACCGAGCGGCCGTCGACCCCGGGAGGAGGGGAGGGGCCTGAGTGACGTCACGCAGGGAGAGGGCCAATGGGAGAAGGGGAGAGGGGAAGGGGGTGGGGCCACGGGGGGGCGGGGGGGCGGGTGAGGGGGAGATCCCCAGAGCGACCGGTATGGACCAGTATGGACCGGTATGGACCAGTATGGACCAGTATGGACCGGTATGGACCGGTATGGACCAGTATGGACCAGTATGGACCGGTATGGACCAGTATGGACCAGTATGGACCAGTATGGACCGGTATGGACCGGTATGGACCGGTATGGACCAGTATGGACCGGTATGGAGCGGTATGGAGCGGTATGGACCAGTATGGAGCGGTATGGATCAGTGTGACCAGTATGGACCAGTATGGACCAGTGCGGGCCAGTATAGACCAGTATGGACCAGTGCGGGCCAGTATAGACCAGTATGGACCGGTATGGAGCGGTATGGACCAGTATGGACCAGTACGGACCGGTATGGACCGGTATGGAGCGGTATGGATCAGTGTGACCAGTATGGACCAGTATGGACCAGTGCGGGCCAGTATAGACCAGTATGGACCAGTGCGGGCCAGTATAGACCAGTATGGACCAGTATGGAGCGGTATGGACCGGTATGGACCAGTATGGACCAGTACGGACCGGTATGGACCGGTATGGACCAGTATGGACCAGTATGGACCGGTATGGAGCGGTATGGATCAGTGTGACCAGTATGGACCAGTATGGACCAGTGCGGGCCAGTATGGACCAGTATGGACCAGTGCGGGCCAGTATAGACCAGTATGGACCAGTGCGGGCCAGTATAGACCAGTATGGACCAGTATGGAGCGGTATGGACCAGTATGGAGCAGTATGGACCAGTACAGACCGGTATGGACCGGTATGGACCAGTATGGAGCGGTATGGATCAGTGTGACCAGTATGGACCAGTATGGACCAGTGCGGGCCAGTATGGGTCAGTGCAGGCCAGTATGGACCAGTATGGACCAGTGCGGGCCAGTATGGGTCAGTGCAGGCCAGTATGGGCCAGTATGGACCAGTGCGGGCCAGTATAGACCAGTATGGACCAGTGCAGGCCAGTATGGACCGGTATGGACCGATATGGACCAGTGCAGGCCAGTATGGAGCACTATGGACCAGTATGGATCAGTGCGGGCCAGTACGGACCGGTATAGATCAGTGTGACCGGTATGGACCAGTATGGACCAGTGCAGGCCAGTATGGACTGGTATGGATCAGTGTGACTGGTATGGACCAGTGCGGGCCAGTATGGACCAGTATGGACCAGCATGTAGTTGTACGGATCAGTGTGACCAGTATGGACCAGTGCGGGCCAATATAGACCGGTATAGGCCAGTATGGACCGGTATGGATCAGTGTGACCAGTATGGACCAGTATGGACCAGTGTGGGCCAGTATAGACTGGTATGGACCAGTATGGACCATTATGGATCAGTGTGACCGGTATGGACCAATATGGACCAGTGCGGGCCAGTATAGACCAGTATGGGTCAATGCAGGCCAGTATGGACCAGTATGGACCGGTATGGATCAGTGTGACCGGTATAGACCAGTGCGGGCCAGTATAGACCAGTATGGATCAGTGTGACCAGTATGGACCAGTATGGGTCAGTGTGGCCAGTATAGACTAGTGTGGACCAGTGCAGGCCAGTATGGACTGGTATGGACCAGTGTGACCGGTATGGACTCATATGGGCCACTCTGACCAGTATGGACCAGTGTGACCAGTATGGACCAGTATGGGTCTGTGCAGCCAGTATGGACTAGTGTGGGCCAGTATGGACTAGTATGGACCGGTATGGATCAGTGTGACCAGTATGGACTGGTATGGACCAGTGTGACCAGTATGGACTGGTATGGACCAGTGTGACCAGTATGGACTGGTACGGACCGGTATGGATCAGTGTGACCAGTATGGGCCAGTGCGGCCAGTATGGACAAGTATGGACCAGTGTGGGCCAGCATGGACCAGTATGGGCCAGTATAGACCAGTAAGGGTCAGTGTGACCAGTAGGGACAAGTGCAATCAGTGTGACCAGTAAGGGTCAGTGTGACCAGTATGGACCAGTGTGGACCAGTGTGGGCCAGTATGGACCAGTATGGGTCAGTGTGACCAGTATGGGTCAGTGTGGACCAGTATGGACAAGTATGGACCAGTGTGGACCAGTGTGGGCCAGCATGGACCAGTATGGGCCAGTATAGACCAGTAAGGGTCAGTGTGACCAGTAGGGACAAGTGCAATCAGTGTGACCAGTAAGGGTCAGTGTGACCAGTATGGACCAGTGTGGACCAGTGTGGGCCAGTATGGACCAGTATGGGTCAGTGTGACCAGTATGGGTCAGTGTGGACCAGTATGGGTCAGTGTGGACCAGTATGGACCAGTATGGGTCAGTGTGGCCAATATGCACTGGTATCTATGGGCTACTCTGACCAGTATGGACCAGTGTGATCAGGATGGACCAGTGCGGCCAGTATGGACTAGTGCAGACCAGTGTGGACCAGTGCAGCCAGTATGGACTAGTGCGGACCAGTGTGGACCAGTGCAGCCAGTATGGACTAGTGCGGACCACTGTGGACCAGTGTGGACCAGTAGAGGCTGGTATGGACTAGTGCGGACCAGTGCGACCAGTATGGGTCAGTATGGACCAGTGTGACCACTGCAGACCAGTTCAGACAGTATGGACCGGTATGGGCTGCACCAGTGTGGCCAGTGCTCCCAGTACAACCAGTGCCCCCAGTACAACCAGTGCTCCCAGTACAACCGGTGCTCCCAGTACAACCGGTGCCCCCAGTACAACCAGTGCTCCCAGTACAACCGGTGCCCCCAGTACAACCTGTGTCCCCAGTACAACCAGTGCCCCCAGTACAACCAGTGCTCCCAGTACAACCAGTGCTCCCAGACCAACCAGTGCCCCCAGTAAAATCGGTGCTCCCAGTACAACCAGTGCTCCCAGTACAACCGGTGCTCCCAGTACAACCAATGCTCCCAGTTCAACCGGTGCTCCCAGTACTCCCATTTTACAACCAGTGCTCCCAGTACAACCAGTGCCCTCCGTACAACCAGTGCTCCCAGTTTACAACCAGTGCTCCCAGTACAACCAATGCCCCCAGTACAACCAGTGCTCCCAGTACAACCAGTGCTCCCAGTACAACCAGTGCCCCCAGTACACCCAGTGCTCCCAGTTTACAACCACTGCCCCCAGTACAACCGGTGCTCCCAGTACAACCAGTGCCCCCCGTACAACCAATGCTCCCAGTACAACCGGTGCTCCCAGTACAACCAGTGCCCCCCGTACAACCAGTGCTCCCAGTACAACCAGTGCCCTATTATAACCGGTGCCCCCAGTACAACCAGTGCTCCCAGTGCTCCCAGTACACCCAGTACAACCAGTGCTCCCAGTGCTCCCAGTTTACACCCAGTGCTCCCAGTTTACACCCAGTGCTCCCAGTACACCCAGTACACCCAGTGCTCCCAGTGCTCCCAGTACACCCAGTACAACCAGTGCTCCCAGTGCTCCCAGTACACCCAGTGCCCCCATTATACCCGGTGCCCCCAGTACTGCCCCAGTACACCCAGGGTAAGGGGGGCACGTGACCTGGTGACGCGAGGGGCGGGACCAAGGCCATGGGGTGGGCGTGGCCATTTGACAGACAGGGTCCCTTTGGTGGGCGTGGTTACGTGAGTGGGCGTGGCCAATGGAGAGAGAGGCGGGGCCTGCAGCTGGGGGCGGGGCTGGGCGCGGAGGGGGCACGGGGGGGCCACGAGGGCTGGGGGGGGGGGGGGGGGGCATTGGGTGCGAGGGGTGAGAGGGGGTGCACGGGGGGTGCAAGGGGTGCGATGGGTGCAAGGGGTGCAATGGGTGCACATGGGTGCAAGGGGTGCGATGGGTGCAAGGGGTGCGATGGGTGCAAGGGGTGCAGTGGGTGCAAGGGGTGCACAGGGGTGCAGTGGGTGCAAGGGGTGCAAGGGGTGCAGTGGGTGCAATGGGTGCAAGGGGTGCAAGGGGTGCACATGGGTGCGATGGTGCAAGGGGTGCAAGGGGTGCATATGGATGCAAGGGGTGCACAGGGGGGCAATGGGTGCAAGGGGTGCACAGGGGTGCAATGGGTGCATGCGGTGTGCACAGGGGTCCAGTGGGTGCAAGGGGTGCGATGGTGCAAGGGGTGCAATGGGTGCACATGGGTGCAAGGGGTGCACAGGGGTGCACATGGGCGCAGTTTTACACTAGGGGTGCACAGGGGTGCAAGCGGTACACAGGGGTGCAAGGGGTGCACATGGGTGCAGGGGTGCACAGGGGTGCAGGAGTGCAAGGGGTGCACAGTGGTGCAATGGGTGAAAGGGGTGTAATGGGTGCACAGGGGGGCAAGGGGTGCACATGGGTGCAGGGGTGCAAGGGGTGCACATGGGTGTAGGGGTGCACATGGGTGCAGGGGTGCAAAGTGTGCACATGGGTGCAGGGGTGCACATGGGTGTAGGGGTGCAAGGGGTGCACAGGGGTGCAAGGGGTGAAAGGGGTGCAAGGGGTGCACAGGGGTGCAAGGGGTGAAAGGGGTGAACATGAGTGCAGGGGTGCAAGGGGTGCAAGGGGTGCACAGGGAGTGCACAGGGGTGCACATGGGTGCAAGGGGTGCAATGGGTGGAGGGGGTGGATGTAGGTGCAGGGGTGCACAGGGGTGCAAGGGGTGCAGGGGGTGGATGTGGGGGCCCCGCACAAGTGGGTGTGCACAGGGGGG